TTGGCCATGGGCACAGAGCAGGAAGGAAGTCCCAGCTCTGACTCTCGGGCCCTGTGTCCATGCACTCTTTTTGTTTCCACTCCAGGGCTGGCTTGGTCCCCTACTGCTCTGTGGTCCTATTTGCTGCCCCACCACTGCACCTGCTAGTCTGCGATGTAGCCAGTTGTAGCAGATGATCAAGGCACCACGGGTCCGAGAACGGGCACGATTACAAACAGGGTTATCTTCCAGCAGGGCACCCTCAGAAAGTGGGGATCTGAAGCGTTTGCCACAGAACAAATAAGATTAACACGTGTTCCTCCTTCCGTCCCACCTCCCCCCACCTCCCCCATTTACTATTGGGTTTCTTAACCTGGGTTCCAAGAACACCAAAGGAGTCTGGGTAGAATCCAGGAAGTCCAAGAACTTGGATGAGAAAAGCACTACGTTTTAATTTTTGCTAACTTTGAACTGAATTTAGCATTTTCTTCCACTAAAAATGTAGGTAATCTGTTATCAGCAGTCCTTTTGACTTTATCATCAATGGAAACCATATTCTTATCAGAGTTGTTGCAGAAGTCTCAAAATACTGTTTATCAATATTTTGAAATGACAAGTTACTAGACCTGCTGCTGCATTGTTAATGTATTTTTGTTATTTAAAGGGACATTTGTCACAAATTTGTTTATATTTCAATGCAATGGTTTTCTTCGTAATTCTGCATGTTATATTTTATGCGTACATTTCAAAACATCCTGGGAAGGGAGGGGTCCACGAGGTACATCCCATACAAAAAGAGTGAAGACCTTTTGTTATTCAAATCCTACAAAGCAGAGATCCTATTCCTCCCTCTTTGAGTTGCAGACTGAGCATGTTGTGCCTTCTGCACTCCCGATTAAATGCCAGGGTGGAGCTCTCCTGTGCTAGGTCTCAGGGGTACCTACAAAGTCAGGAGGAGAGGCTGTTCAGGAAGGCTTCTCCAAGCAGGGACCACCTTATAATTTCTGCAACATCCATGTGACAGATATTTGGGTGCCCTTCTGTTGTGGGCATTGCCCTTAGGCACTGGACGCTCTGCAGTGAGCAAAAAGGACAGACTCCATATCCTTGGGCCAACATTCTAGTGGGGTTTGGTGTCTTCACTCTCCCCAAGAACCTTCCCTGAGTAGTCATGTGTAGTTACAGCTCCTCATTCTGTACTCATGAAAGCTCATTCCTCCGTGTGAGTTTCTTTGATGATATATATGTACTTTGTTCTCCTGTTAATTTATGTATATTGATCACCTCCTCAACTAGGCATCAATGGTATGTGCAAAGAATCTGTTTATCTCCCCTTTGTAATTCCTGAAAAAAGAAATAAGGCACATAAAGAACTTGTAATTCCTACAGAATGAGTTAACATTTGGGAAGCTGTTAGTTATAGTGTAATTTATAGTGTATTTGCTATTTAACCAATCCTAGACGCAAATGATGACATTCAAAGAAAGAACAAGAGAGGGAGGAAACCATCCAGGAGCCAGGGGTCTTATCTCCCCAGGTGACAGGAACCAGTGAAATGCCAAGCTGACCTGGGGGAGCTGGGTACCCCAAGACTTACCAAAAGTCCGGTGGAGATTCTCTGAAAGAAGAACAGATGGAAAGGACTTAGTGGGGCGCTCAAAATGATCCTGTCTCCTCTGATCCTTTGTTATTTAATCGCTTACAGTTGCTTCTAGTTGTGACGCACGATGGAGGAAAGGAGACTGTAGGATTTCACTCTACCCTGGCTGAAGGGCAGGGAAGAGGAATGAGACTTTTCTACAATTCTCCGCTGGTTATAGGAATTTTCAATTGTGAAACTCCCGCCTGAAGGTCGCACAGGGTATTGGGACAGAGGCAGAAGTGGTCTGAGAAAATGACCATTTCAGTTATGCCAAAAGACCAGGAAGGAGGGCTGGGGAGGGACAGTGCCTAGAACTCACCTATTTCTGCTCGAAGTTTTCCTAAAAGAGAAAAAGGTGACACTTTTAGTTCCAGCTCAGGCACTAGATGGGGCGCCTCCACACCCAGCGCCCTGGGCCTTCCTATGGGCTGTTTCTCAGCTGCCTGGGAGTGTCCTTAGGAGGGTGAGAAGGGCACTGAGTTTGAAACCAGGAGTTCAGCGCTTTCCCTGGCTATTGTCTGGGTTCCATATTGCGGTAAAGAGAGCTGAGAACCCTGGTAGACACTGTCCACCAATACCCCAAATCAACCTAAAGTTTTATTACCGCCCCCACAGCTCTCTGCTCCTCTTCTTGGTGGCACAGTTGACAAAGCCACTCCACCCCCTGCTGAGTTGTCACTTTGTAAATCTAAAGCCACTTCCCGCCTGAATGAGGAAGGAACTAAATGTTTCGTTGAGCAGCTACTTGGTGGCTGGCTCAGTGCTGGGGACTTTCCGTAAGACTCTCCCCTTTAATCCACCCTTATGATGTAGGAGGGAGGCTGTGGTCTCCACTAGACAAGGCAATGGACGCTTGGAGAGTTCAAGTCACTGTCCGAGCTGGCTTCTAACCCAGGCTGCCTAACCCCACCAGTCAGGTTCTTTCTGCTCAGCCAAGTGGGCTGAAGACTTTTCTCACTTGGGAGAAGAGGTAACAGTATACTTGGGATGAGGTCAAGGGGAGAAGATCCCACCAACATCCCCCCTGACGTACTCCAAGCCCTCCTGGCTGCTTTACCCTCTTAGGAATGGGGGTGGGGGATTGGAGGTCCTGCTGGCTTTGGCTTTGAGAGCACTTGGTGGGGGGAGAAGTCTCCGAATGGAAGCTCTGGGCACAAGAGAGCTCCTTCGATAGCTGAACCCGAGTCCTCTGTGTCGAATGGAAAAGCAGGAGGAAACAACTTTCAAACACCTACTCCATGGTAGGGACTTTTACTCACAGGATCTTTATTTAAACCTCCTAATAGCACGGTCCTGCCTGATTCTGAAGCTCACACTCCCCCAGGTGCTTGAGCTGCTAGGGCCGGTACAGGGCCCAGAAGATGGAAGATTAGACCTGAGCTCTGCCACTTATAAGCTGAGTCAGCTTGAGTAAGTCTCTGAACCACGCCAGGCCTCAGTTGCCTCTTCTGTAAAATGGGGTCCTGTTATCTAAGTGATATTTACATTTGGTAAGATGCCAAACTCGTCATTACAGAGTGAGTTCTGAACCCAGAAGTCACTCAAGAGTAAACATTAGCTGACCAAGCTCCAAGAGGCCAGGTCACTTCGGGGGAGGGTGCCACCCCGCCTCCAGCCCATACCTCTCAGTCTGCGCTGCAGGCAGAGGAAGACAAGGCCCACAGTGATCTGCAGGAGGAGCACAGGCAGAACCGCGATGAGAACCAGCACTCCGGGGTTGATCCAGTAGAAGGGATCTGAAAGGCAGAACCGGCATGGCCCCGCGCTGTACCCTCGACTCCCAGCCCCATGCCTGGGGCTCCGTTAAGTCAGGTTGAAGAAAGGAACAGTATCACCAAGATTCAAAGATGAAGACTTAGAGCTGACATCTCAAGTCACCTGTCACCTGACTGAGCTTAGTTAAAGGAAAAGTGGTTGTTTCCAGGAAAGTCCAGTGGCTTAGAATGATAGGAGTCTAGTCTCTGTATTGGGCTGGTCCTGGAGAGTTTTAAGACCCACAGAAGGGACTTAGATCTGATCCTCCAGGCCAGGGGGTACCTTGAAAGTCTCCATGCTGAGGAGTGACAAGATCTGATTTATCGACTGCAGGACTGGGGAGCGGGGGACGGAGGTCAGTTAAAAGGCCATTGTCATAGTGAAAATAAAAAACACGAGCCTGAACTAAGACAGCGATAGAGGTATAGGAAGTCAAGGGCATCGGTGAACTTAAACAGGAAAAAAAACATTTATTTTCAGTAACTTTTAAACTGAAATTTAGTGTTTCTTTCAATTGTGTTTGTAGGCAACCCCCCACAACAATGTGAACAGAACTTGAGAATTCGTCATTCCTAAAAATCAGGTATTTTCATATCACATCAGAATTGGTGCAGAAATCTCAAAATACCACTTAAGTTCAACATTTTGAAATTACACTAAGCAAGCTTGACAAAATAAATCAAACCTGAATCTGACTATGCGTATTCTAATCTATGAGTTTACAGGAAATCCAGGGTTTGAAACACCGTGCAAACAGCATGGGAATCAAATCAGCAAAATCTAAACCATCGGAAAATCTACAGGGCAAAAACCAACCCGTGGATCTTGTCTGGATCGGATTCAAGCAAATCCAATTGTAAAAATACATTTATAAAACAATCAGAAAAATGTGAGCACAGACAGAGTATTGGTAAATGTCTGTTAAAGATGTCATTATAGTATTTGGGGTGTTTTGTTTTGTTTTGTTTTTAGAGTTTTTCTATTTCAGGCGTACATTCTTGAGGATTTAGAAATGAAATGATAATGCTGCCTAGGATTTGCCTGAATGTTTCAGTTGGGGAGGATGGTAATGAGTGGAGTCAAATGAGACAGGTTGCCGGTCCTTGGGTCATAACTGTTGCAGTCAGGTGATGGAAACCTGGAGGCTCATTATAGTAATCTCTCTACTTCTGTATATGTTTTAAGGTTCATAATGAAGAGTTTAAAGAAAGGATTACAGACAACTAGGAATAAAACCAC